GTCCTTTGTGTATGTTAAATATACTTTATTAATCCAAAAATATATAGACTTTAACTGTGGGCAGTTTTATTGTAGAACAGAGAAGTATCAAAGTTTGGGCAGTCTCATTAAGATGCATCTTATTATTTTCCAATAAAATACTTGTCAGGCCTTTAGTCTTAAACTATCTAGTTTACCTCTCTACCTATAATACAGAGTCCACCAAAAAAATGTATACACACTTCAGGAAAAAACTTGTACAAATATTTTAACACTAAATTTATGGAGACATCATGAGATTAGGCAATTACTTTGACATCTACAATGACAAGAAGTGCTCAAAGTGGTGGCCGTGAGCTTCCAGACATTTATTAGTACGGAAAATTGCTGCTTGGGTAACCTAGGTTATTCAAATTGCTGCACATACATTTTTAATTTCTTCCCTAAGAGCTGGCAGTGTAGTAGGTTTTCTGTGATATATGACATCTGCTGAGGTCCCTTGTGTGAGGATAACACCAACTGTTGAAAAAAAAATTATATTTTTTTCTTTTCCTGAAGTATGTATACAGTTTTTTGGCAGACTAAGTGTAACTATGTAGTTATGTGTCTGAATGTAGCCAGTGTTTTGGTTTATCATGATTGAAAGCCTTAACTAAATTTGGTCTTATTTAGCTAATTTGATTTTAACATTAGAGTCAAATGCAACAGGGAAAACATGATGATTCAATTACTCTTAACTGATATTTGAAGATTCATGTTGAACCAGCCGCTCAGGTGATTCCTTGGAACTTCAGACAAAAAGAGTTCATCATAAAGTGGGATTTCTCTTTCATCACATACAACAGTTCAAAGTTTCTTCTGAAACATAAAACATGAGCTTTTTTCTACAAGAATACAAAATGAGACTAAAGCAAGATAAGTTTTACTGCAGAGAAGTATAAGTAAGGCACTCTCCACCTGTTATCCTGTTAGGTAATCTCTTCTGGGCAAAATATCCTTTCCAATTACACTCAAGCCAAACAGCTGTCAATTATATCACACCTAATAGCTGCAGCAGCTGGAAACATGCTGGTACAGACCTTCATACTCTTAAACAATGAGAATGGATCATTTTAAGAGGAGTGTGAATGACAGAATTTATTGACCAAAAAATGTAAGGCAGATTACAAGAGGATGCAAATTTCCCATCCATATTTAGGCAACGAGGCAAAAACCAGTTGGAAGGTGTCTAATTCAGATAAATCCTAGGTATTAAAATGAGAAGATCAAGAACAAGAAAGAGTGATAAAAACAAATTAAGAGAACAAATAAAGGGGTAAAAGAAAGTTAAATAAGGAGATGGTAATAAGTAAAATAAAATGAGATAATTTAAAGCAGATTAAGCCTGTGGATGATAAACTCCTGGGACAGAAGAATAAAAGAGCAGCACATAATCATTACCAAAAATTACTATCACACGCAACTTCTAAAACAAGATGTAGAAAATGCTTGATAATTATGTGGTATGCTAAAATGGAAATAAATTATGTTTAATGAAATCAAATGAAAAATATGTTTTTCCTTAAAATGCCACCCACGTGTCAATATTGGCATTAAAATACTGAAAGGCCCTTGTCTCCTTCTCCAGGGGAAAATATGTTAGGGTAAGGAAGTAAGTCCGAGTTGAATGTTCTATTTCATGCAACAATGCTTTACATGAGTTAAAGTAGGTGATCTATTTTAAAATATCCTTTTGGGGGTACTGCTGTGTTATTCTAATGTGCAGAGATGATGGTGCGACACAGCCACTGTAGTAAAACGGTAGCCTGCATGGAGACCTCAAGTGGGGTATCAAGTGCCTTCCCACGTCCCGCCTTCCCGTCCTCACAGGAGCCCCGTGAGTTCGCCGCTGGTAATGAGCTATTTTATGTGAGGAAACTGAACTGCAGTGACACCCTAGAGCCTCAGAACTTATAACTGACAAGACTCGAGATTGCACTGCAAGTTCTGAATCTCTATGCTATTACTTTGTATGGAACCTATCTTACACGTCCCTATATCAAATTATTAATTTCAAAAACAGTCATTAGTTTCATTTTTCAATGAAACTAAGTGTGTTTACATTACTATTTCCCACATAATTGTGACTGACAAAATATAAAAGATGTGTAAATCAGGAAGAAATTCCAAATTTTTATTTTGTACTAAATATGTATGTTATTATGGTCATGAGTATGACATATATAGCACATGTATGCAGGTAATATTCTTAGCATTTAAGGAGCATAATATATATTTTCAATGGTTAAAGATTAAAAGTGCAGCACTGGTGCTGTCTCCTGCTGCATCAGGAAGTGTGCCCACCAGTGAAAATCTCTGAGGGAGGCTTGGCATATCTAGAACAGTGCCTTTCATCAGTCCTTACCAAATAATTTACTACGCTGCTACTTTGGTTCATAGTAAATAGCTTCCCATTGCAAATAAAGTAAGGAAAATGGTTCATTATCCATAAAGAATGGGATAAAACAATCTCTCTGACTGCTGGTCTCTTGGTCTCGCTTTCTCTCTCTCTCTCTTTCTTTCTCCTCTCTTTCTCCCTCTTCTCTATCTCCCTCTCACCCTCCTTCTTTCTCTCTTTCATTCTTTCTTGTTTAAATCAAGTAATTGAAACCCCTAGGTACAGTTTTTCTTGCCTTGTTACCTTTATATGTTTCTGTACTTTATTTATGGAGATAGATAATTCCCCTACCCCGTGGTGAGACTTGAACCCAGGGCCTTCACAATAAGCTATACCCTCAGTCCTTAATTATTATCATTTTATAGGTATTTTTATTATTATTATGATTATTATTATGATTATTTTAGGGGATTTTTAAAAGACAAGTTCTCACTAAGTTTCCCAGCCTGTCCTGAAACTTGCAATCCTCTTTTCTCAGCCTCACAGAGTGCTGGGAGCATAGACCTGTACTACCACACCTGGTTCTTCATCATATTTCTAAAATAATTAAATAACTATAGAATTTAGTGTTTTTAAAGTCTAGTGACATGAGTTTATATTTTTCAATATTGAGCAAACTTAAATGCTTCACTTGACCTATGTTCTTTAACTGAAAGTCCTCTTTTGATGTAGTATGCTCTGCTGCAGGTTCCGAGCTTGCATTTAGTCTCCAGCCCTCCCCTCATACAGCCTCTGACCGCTTTTGTTTCATTTTGCAGTGTTCAGTTTGGCTTTCATTTTATGCTCTAGTGGGAAATGCAGTAATTCAGCAGGTAGATGACTACCTCACCTTTGGGAAAACCTGAGTCGACATTTATTATTACATGGTCTCAGGATAGCTCCGGCGTTCCTCACACTACAAAAATCAACATAGTCCTCTCGGAAGAGCTAGGTCCAAGAAGGAGAAATGGGTCCTGCTCTTGAAAATAATATGAGTTTCTCCATTTTACTACTCACTAGTTCATTGATTTCAAAAAGTATTTCCTGAAGACCTATTTCATCCAAAATACAAAGTTGGGAACTTAGCAATATGGATGAATTTTGTGAAGGTCCCTTTTCTCAAGAAAGTTATCTTTGTGCAAGGAAGAAGCATACAAAGAATTAGATATATACCTTTAGAATATAATTAGGACAAAGTGTACTGAAGCATTGAGTAGGACTCTGCCAATTCTGACTGGGAATAACTCAGAAGGTGATATTTGAATTGACCTCTACAAAGTAAATATTAACAGGTGGTTGGTAAGAGGACCACTGAGAGAAATGAAAAAGTCATTCAAGAAGAAAGAAGAGCACAGAAAAAGACACACAGGTGGGACATAAGTTTCCAGGTTCATAGAATAGCAAGCGAGCCAAGTGTGGGTTTATAGGATGGCTCAGGAAATAAACAGAAATATGTGATTTGAAAGATAGCATAGTGCAAGATCCTGGAGTATTTCACACAATAAAATGAAGATTTGAAATGCACCATAGCAAAGCTGAGAGCCACGGGGATTCATTTACCAAAAAACTGACATGATTTCCTCTTGTCTTGTGTATTTTAAAAAAAAATTCACAACTGCGATTTCCTCTGTTGGGAGTGCAGTGCTGCCAGAACCATCTAACACCTCGCTTGACTGGGTTAAGTCTGTAAGTGAGCCTGGTTCCCCGCTCCTGGGAGATAGTTCACTACTCCGCCTAGGCTTACAGGACTTCGTCCCAGGCTGGGCTGTGTACAGCAGCCACCTTCCTCCGTTTTCTCAGATTATATATATAATTTTCAGATTCCTGTAAGATAATCATCTTTTTCTCATGACTGTTCTCTCACTTAAATTCAGGGAGAATCTATCCTTGCTTTTCTGTCTTCGGTGTATTTCCAATATGTTGTCTTCTGGGTGCTTAATAAATATTAGCTGACTGAATGATGAGTCACTATAGGAAAGTATATAACATGGTTGGAAAATTGGTCAACACCTCAGAAGGTACACAAAAGAGACAGCAGAATCAAGTCAGGAATAATAGCGTTAGGATGCCCACTATTATAGGGCAGTATGGGAGAATAAGATGTTAACATGAGCAGGGGAATAAAAATGAGACACCAAAGAGAGAGAGCTGATCAGCAGGCCTGAGGCATGAGGACTGCTCAAGGTGACCTTAGATAGAGTGGAGAAACATTGTGCATTCTCCTATGTAAAGACAATTTCACCAAATAAAAGTGATTTTTCTTTTTGATATATTTAATGTGCCTATAGGAGCATCCATATTTTCAAAATGTTGTCTAGAAGTTGAAGTCATTCACCCTTAAAGCAGAAATGCAGGATACTATCTCTGTTGTCATTCTGTTGTCTAAAAACTATCCTTCCTCTAGTTTGAACTGTCATACCAGAAGAATCGGCAACGATGAGAAAAAAATCAACAGAGGGATAAATGTCGATCTAGTCACTTTCCTTAGAAGTAATATCTCATAATTCCCACTAAGCTTATGACTTTGGAGTTCCGAAGTTTAAGTTCTGTTTGAATCTTTCTCCAGTGATTCCAAATTAATTATGTCTCTCTTGTCTCTCCACAGTATGCTGTCTGGCTAGTCCTCTGGGTTACGTGGAATGTGTTTGTTATCTGCTTCTATCTGGAGGCTGGAGACCTCTCAAAGGTAATGTCTCACCTGATTTGCATGTAGTCAGCTGGTAACAAATCCCTTCCTCAGTAAGGCAGACGCACCCTGCTCTTGTCACCTTGATGCCCTTGCATGAAGGTAAATTGAAAGTGTCTTGATTTACATCTCTGCATCCGAGATACGTTTTTTGTGTCATGGAAATGGGCTTTTGTGTTTTAAGTAAAACTGATGTGAATGATTGATTATTATAATGATCATGCATTGCGCTTTTTCTAACATTAATTGAGAGATTTGTGAAGCCGAATAGGGATTTTTCAGAATGGAATATCTTGATTTTTAAAATTACTTAGTTTGCTTATTTTTCTACTAAGCATGTTCCTCATTGACCCAAAATAGTAATGAAATAATTTAAAAAATGAAACAGTTTTAGCTGAATGGAAGTTACCATTGGGATATAATTTACTACTGAAATGAGTAACATACATAATCCTAATGTAGTATAGAAAAGACTGAAAATATCTGTCCGTCTTCACTAAGATTTCTTTTTAAGTATGTGTACATGTATGTATTGCTGTTATATATTTCACAGGAGTGCCTTTGCTAATGAAATAATGTGATTTCTGATCTGTAGACCTGCTGTCCTTCCTCCAGTGGAACACCAAATAAATTCATTAGGCAGTCCACCCAAAATAGTAGTAAATCTTGATTCTTAAGAGTTTTGAACTTGTACTTTCTACTAATTTTGAAGGACAAATTGTGAAATGTTCTTTTGGATACTTCTATTTAAAGAAAAATACACTTGAAAATACAGTGATATTTTTGAAGCTCAAAGATGATCACATGTTATTAAAGGCTAAAAGAGTTAAAAAGGGAAGAGTAAGAGGAGGGAAGAGAAGAAGAGAAGGAAGTATATTCCCCAGAAACTAAATTACTACTTCTATAGGGTGTATATTTTGGAAAGATAGAGAAGGACTGAATGGCCATGGCACGTTTACAGCCTCGCATGTGGGAATTTCTCAAAACACTCAACATTTTTGATGATGTTTGTTTGACAGTCAAGGTGAAGCATCAGCTTGACTGGCCTGAGAGCCTCCCATAAAGTATAATTCTGGGCGTGTCTGGCTGGGTCCTGAAGGCATGAGCTTGGGTTGACACATTGTCGTTGGTCCTTGGTCCCTTCCTTCTGGGCATGTTCCCCTGCTCTGATTTCCATTTGCCATGAACTAAGTAGCTTTGTTCTTACACACCTTTGCTTCACGGTGTTTCTGCCTTAGACCCATTGATTATGGACTGCCTCCTCTGAAACCATGGGTAAAGTAAGCCTACCCTTTTAGATTAAGCATGTCTGGTACTTGTTCAGGCAATTGAAAGGCTGACAAATATATTCATTTATTATTTCACTGAGATACGTGGAGTCCACTAAGTAAAAATGATCTTGACTTATCTTGGTTCAGTGACAAGAGACAAAAGGTAGAATAAAATAGCAACTTTATGATTTGACATAGACTTGATTCTGGGGCATTTTGTTTTATGACCAAATAATCAGCATGGCCTACATGATTTGCCCTAGTAGATGACATGTCTGAGACTCTCACAGAAATGTAAGAGTCATCTTTCCCCATACACTTGGTAGCACACACTGCTTTCAGGAGGGAACTATGACCAGTGAAAGAGATTGTTCAGGCTGCTCTAGGAGACACACAGATAAGAGTTTTGATTGAAACTCATTTGCCTTCATGCATATATATATATATATATATACATATATATATATATGCATATCTCTATTTCTTTACATCTATCTATCTATCTATCTATCTATCTACCATCTACCTATCAAGAGAAAGAGAGAGAGAGGTCTTCCAAAGTCTCTGAATTGTGTACTCAATCTCTGTTGCCCTATTATCTACTTTCTTCAAGGAAATTCCATACTAGAATGACTTTTAATAGTATTTTCAATTTAAAATAGTGACCTTAACAGCTGTAAGGGTGATATTCAGGAATATTGCTGGACTTAAATGATTTCTCAGACCACAGGTTTCCGTATTTTACATAGTTATTTGTGTATTTTACTGGCGTATTTTTGAGGCCCAGTAATAACATGTATCTTGTGTAGCTGGTGTACATCTATGTCTCATCTCAATCGTTTCTGCTTCCTCTGCTCCTCTCCACACTCTCCTGTCCAGTCCCATGTAAATTTTAGGGATGTTTTCTCTAGTCCTGTGGAGCATGCTGATGATATGTTGATTTGAATTGCATTAAATCCATATATAACTTTTGGTAATATGGCCATTTTGACAATATTACTTCTGCCAACCCAGGAACAGAAGATATCATTCCAATTTATAATATCCTCTTCAACCTCTGTCTTTTTTTTTCAGAATAATATTGGTTTTGTTATAGAAGTCTTTCTTGTCCTTGGTTAAGTTAATTATGAGGAATTTAAATTTTTGATGCTAATGTGAATGGTATTATTTCTGTGATTCTTTTCTCTTTAGTTGTATGCCATGGGATCTGAGATGTTTTCCTCCTATTGTAATTTGATTCAAATAAATTTTTACATTTTCTCTGATTGCTTCTTTTAACTTTTTATTTCCAAAGGAATAAGCAATTTTCAAAAAAAATACAGAATTTCAAAACAAGATGATAGGAAATTAACAATGGTTGTTATATTGCATATTGTTATCTTTACTAGATATAGGCATGCAAAATTAATAAAAATATTAAGCATTAACTGTTATGATTATTCAAAAGTGTGTCATTTACTCTCCAAGCATTTAAGGAGTTTCTTTCGGTGTCAATTTCTAGTTTCTTTCCATTATGATTAAGTGGATTGCAGGGGATTATTTCAGTTATTTGTATCTACTGAAGCTTTCTTTAGGGCCTATAGCAACTTTATGATTTGACATGTTTGTTTGATGATGTTTGTTTGGCAGTCAAGGTGAATCATCAACTTGGCTGGCTATGCCCTGTCTTGGATGATGTTCTGTATGCTTCTGAGTGAAAGGTGTATTTAGTTGTTGATGCAATAAACTCTGTTAAGTCTTTTTGTTTGATGCTGTTTAACTCTGATATTTAATTTTTTTGTCCAGTTGACCTATTTGTGAGAGTAGGGTATTAAAGTCCTCCGTTTGCTTATATTAGTGTCCATCTGTTGTTTATGTCCAGTAATCTTGTTTCATGAAATTGAGCATGCCAATATTTGGTGCATATATATTTACAATGATTATCTCTTGTTAAATTGTTCCCTCCACCAGTAGGAAGTCGCTTTCTCTGTCTCTTCTGATGAGTTTTGACTTGAAAGATACTTTGTCTGAAAACAGGATACCATTTGTGCATGTTTTTGTGCCCAGATTACTTGAAATATCATTTTGCAATCTTTCATCTTCAGTCTGTATATGCTATTTTTTGTATTTATTTTTGTAAATGTCTCTTACAGGCAATATATGACTGTGTTCTTGTTTTGATCCAATCTACCATTCTGTGCTTTTTTGATTGAGAGTGTAAGGTCATTAACATTGAATATATTACTATAAGGTATTTACTGAACCCTGTTATTGCAGTATTTCCCAGGACCAACCTCTTTTATTTTTCCTCCTGTTCCCTACCCAGTTGGATATAAACTTTGCTTTGGGCTGTTTCGTCCTGATGGCTCCCTGTCTCCGTGTAGGTTTCCCTTACATCTTTTCTGCCTTGGTGGTTTAGAAGGCATGATTTTCTTCAGGACCTCTTAATCATGGAAATTCTTTATTTCTTTATCAATTTTCAGGAATAATTTTGCAGGACATAGACGACTGATTTTACAACTGTCTTTGGGTCTTGAAAAATTTCACTCTAATTTCCCCTGCCCTTTAAGATTTACACTGAGAAATCTGCTGTGATTGTAGTAGGCTTGCCTTTAGAAGTTATTTGCAGTTGTTCTCTGACATATGTTATTTTCTCTGTTTCTGCTGAACGTCTGGAATTTTGACTATGATGTGTCATGTACATCAGAATCCAACCAGATTCTTTGCTGGTTGTAGCTACTTGGGGTTCCATATACCTCATGTACCTGAAAATTGAATTCATTTCCTAGATTTGGAAAATTTTCTGCTGGGAATTTATGGAATGAAATATTTATACCTTTTGTGTCACCTTCTAATCTTTACTGTTGTAATTTTTAGATGTTTTTAAAGTTCCTTTTGAGTCATCGCACTGTGGTTGGATCCAGTTCTACGGGATTTTGTCGTTTTCAGAGCACGACTGAGTACCCAGTCTGCTCCAGTCTTGTCTCCACTTACGGACTCCGTGTCCTCACCTCTGTCCTGCTGCCCATCCTTTAACTCGATTTCTTATACCCTAGATTTCTGCTTGATTTCACTGTATAACCTCTCCTTCTTTACTGAAATATTCACATTTTGAATTTTATTTAATTGAACCAGCTTTTGTCTATTCTTCAAGCTCATTGAATGCTTTATTAATTATGTATTTAGCTGTTTTTCTAATTTAAATTCTATTTGAGTTAATTAAACAATTTATGGATTTCTTTATTGCTGATTTGGTCTTTCAAACATTTTTAACTATTTTGTTTCTGAGTTCCTTGCCTGCAACTTCCTTTCTTTCAGTGCCTGTACATTTATCTCTTGGGATGTTAAATGTTCTTAGCCATCTTGGGTTTTTTTTGTTTGTTTGTTTTCTCATCTTTCTTCTGGTTTGTTTTGTGCTGGGGGTTGAAGATTAGTCAGGGTAAAAAACTTGACTCATGATTAAGGTGATCTCTTTAGGTAGTGCGTGTCTTCCTGTAATGTGGCCTTGGCTCTGTTTATGCTCTGTTGTTTCCATACCTCTTCATTCTTTCAGTGTAACAGAGCCGGTCCTGGTTGCTGACTCACAAGGAGGTAACAACTACTAGTTACATCAGCCTTCACAGAATCATATATCAACCATACATCAATCATATAATTGAAATAGTTATAACAATTTCACACTTTTTCAGTAACCCAGGAAATCATTGGAATGGTATTGATGCCAAGTAGGCTGGGATGTAGAAGCCAAGG